GAAGGCTGTATCCCTGCTACCAAACATTTTTTGCAATATTTCCACGTGTACTCGCCTTAGTATTTCTGAGAATCTGCACAAATCAATTCAGTTTTCAGTTTGTACAACCATTAATGGTGCACGTTCATGTAGCGGTTCGGGTTGCTGTCTTTTGGCTGGCCAAGCAGGTAGGAGCAAGATGGAAGAATTTCAGGTAGATTCGAAGAGACATTGGAGAATTTCAGTATAATGACAGAATGAGAAGCTTGATTACAAGTTTGCATCTATTTATTTTCTAGTTTAGCGAAATCATGTGAAAATTTAGTTTTTGTGGCGAAAAGATTATCGCAACTCTTAGGCTCTGCCTGTTTAAACCAGTTTAGCATGGAGTATTCATGACCGCACTTTCCACCTAGCAACATTTTTCTTAGGCAGGAGTGAATACCGTCGCTGTCACCGGCGTGCTTTTAACCCTATGGTCCGAGGTTCGAGTCCCACCACCCAACTTTGGTGGTAGGCAGGTTTGCTGTCATCCGGTTCAATAGCACGCCTGACCCAGCGGGGCCTTATGTGGTTCGCCACTCCAAGTTCCGGGGCTTAGGTTGCCGATTTCAACCACCGAACAGCAGGTCCTCGTGACTATGGGTGTACCCCGTCTGCTGTTCATCACACTCAGGTGTGTAATAAAAATATATATGTAGTGCATAGGAGTGTAGAGAGAACCAACTTGTTGATTCTGCGTTTCTCTTTTCTTCTTTTTTATTTTACTTCCATTTATTGAATATACAAAGATGCAGTTTTGAGTAAGTGTAGGCGTTCAATCGAAGGGCTGGCATTTAGCACACAACGGGGGAAGTCAAGCGGTGGTAGTGATAAATTGATGACCTTACCACCGCCCGGATATGAATGCTATAAGTTAGAGGAAAGACGGAAAAAGGTAGTGTTCCACAGTTGTTTTGTTCTTTTTAGAAAAGATGACTGAAATTCAGTAGTGCGTATCTTTGGATGGTCATTTGGAATGATCGTCTAGTCGCTTGTGTATAGGACCTACAAGGAACAACAAGTGAAAGAAGGACGGACGAGACAAGTCCGATAGAACAAAACTCAAACTAGTATCGATACAATAAAGATGAGGAAGATGCTGCTCGATGGCGAACTAGTGACTGCAAGCTACATGCCAGGGACAGGTTGTTGAACCCTATCAAAGATAAACAGAAATGTGAATTAGGCTGGTTTGCACACATGACCGCAGTATTCAAGTGTACGATACATTTTAGCTTCGCAAAGCAATACGAGGTGAATGGCGGTGAAAAAGAACGTCTGGTTCGGAAGAAGAAACGGATTTAGCAAGTGGATAAGTAAGAATAAGATAAGCATGGTCGCGATATGTTGTATAAATCTGTGGAACGGAAAACCTTTGAGTTGACATTTGGTGAGAGTGGCGAAAAATTCACATTTAAGAAAAGTATACAAAAGGCTCGGTGTTCCCAACATTACGGAGAACATGACTGCGACCGCCCCTAGCAAAATAATGACCAAGATCAAACTTTACGGAGATACTGAGCGAAGAACAGTCACCGCTAATACTGGCGTAAGCGGTGCGTGAACAGGAATAGGCAAAAGAAGAACGTGGATTGGGGTCATTGACAAACGCATCAATAGGATTGAATGTCGAGAAAAAAGAAGTTCATCATTGAACATCAGAAAAAGGGAGACATTGAGGGACACCATTGTAGTACGCAGGACCGACCCCAGTTCTGAATCCACTCAAAATACACTGGCAGATTGATTCCGGGCAACGCAGTCCGAGTTCTTATACAATTAGCGTCTTCACAAAAAGGCCGCACAATCTCTGGCCACTCACTGACGCTCTCAATACACCGGTAAGCTACACTTCTCACAGTAGGTTCTTTGTGGAGGGGACTTCCAAACGACCTGCAAGACAGGGAAAATACAAAAAGCAACCATGAACCAAAAGGCCTAGTGAGACATGCACACAACTCACAATTAAATCAAAATGACTGCGCCCGTGTCTTCACCATCATTCACAGGCACGGAATAAGCCATGCTCCTGTTTTTGCTTGAACGGAGATGCTCTGCTCTTGGAGATAGTTTACTTTCCAGGACGCAAGTTCTTATGCAGATTCTGCTTAAAGGATATACAGTAGTTTGGAAACGGACTAGTATTACACCGTTTAACAAAATCAGCGATAGTTTTTGTTACCACAAGGTTTCTAAACGTTTACATGATAATTTGATCAAATTGCGTATTCGGTTTTCCCGTTTGCTGATTATTCAGATTCTTGAAATTGCCAATGGGTGTGAATGTGATGGTGCGAATACTGCAAGTCTGGGGAGGAGGCTAGATAATTTTGTCGATGAACAAATCTAGATGGATTCGGTGTTCACATCTCTGTTGTAGTATAAAAAATATTTCTGTGGTGTATGAATGTCTTGCCATCCTGCAATGAAGAGGACAGAGATTCATTGTACGTCAGTTGTAATGGGCGGAACGCAAATTTCTGTGATTCAAATCATGCATTGGCGAATGCTTTTCAACAAGCGAGAGTCCAGTCAATTGTTTTATGTGACATTCCACTTTGGGTAATAAAATAGATCAAAACTCGGTTTACGTTTCCCAAATCAGTTGTGCGCGTTTTACAAGAGAGAGAGGATTACTAGATTAATAAGAAAACTGGACAAGGAATTGATTGCTTTTTTACGGTAGCAAGCCTGGATTAGCCCATTCGATTGTTAAGAGGCGCCAGGTACTCTTGATGGTCTTGGGTGTGGGTTTCACTCCTTCGGAGATCGTTAATTCCCCACAAGTTTCTACATTTACATGCGATGGAAAAGTTTGTGATAACCGACGAAGAGCACTGGACAGCTGTTTTGTCCTGTTTGGGACTCGTCAGCAATGCGTACCTTTTGTGTCCCTATCAGGACTCAAACCGCGAACTTTCAGGTTGGGACTTCGAACACTTAACCTTGAGCTACACGGTCGACGATCATCACCTTGTGCGAATGGATGAATCAATTTTACGGTAACAAGCTTGGATTAGCCCATTCGACTGTTAAGAGGCACCGGGCACCACATATTGCTGACGAGTCCCAAACAGGACAAAACAGCTGTCCACTGCTTTCTGTCGTTTATCACGAACATTTTCATCGCATGTAAAGAATTCGATTGATTAAATTCATAACGGAGACTGACGTACAATTGCTGAATTGTGGTCTAAGTGACATTAAGTATCAGATAGCGATTCTCGACCAGAATCCACAGGTATGGTGTGGTATGGTTCTCTATGCCCTCATCTCCGTCGGGCTGAAAACCATTTTATGTTCGAAGAAGAAGAGAATAAGCTCAAATCTAAGCTTTGCTCAAATTTCGGAGTCAGATATATAATAGGGAACCGTATGGCCAGGACGTACGTGACAAACTTGGTGAATTTGACACCGAAGAGACTGGATAAAGAAACAGGGAACAAAGACGGACCAACAGATTATTAATCCGTGTGCAGTTCTTTTTGTGCGCATTGTGTGGCTTGTGTGTGTTTGTGTTTCTAGATAGTTACTTTTTACAATTAACTCTAACAATTAGTTCACATAAGACTGGTTTCAGTGATACCAACTTATTGGTTTTTCAAATTAACTTCCTACTTGGCTTAATTGTATAAGGGGAAAAACCCCAATTATTCATCAGCAAGTAACCAACGAAGAAATGATCATAACAGGCGTCATGAGTTTCCGCCACGGCGTATTTTTGATGCAATGAGATAAAATAATTCATTGATTACAAAAGATAGTGAATTTGGATGACTACCTTAATCCTAATCTACTGTCTCCTCTGGAAGAATAAGATAGCTTCATGGATATCATCCATAGTGCTTCGTGGGATTGTGATACGTTCGGGACTGTTTTACGTCTCACTTCCCCAGTCCCGAGTCCGAGGTGAGCTAAAATTACTTCGTTTGGCTTTTTCGTAGAGGTTGCATCTCTTGTTCATGCACGCCCAAATAAAACCTCCAAGGTAAAAGGGTTAAACCTATTAAGCCTGGGGCCCGCTGTGCAGTCCATTCGTCTGTTCCGGAAGCCTTATCGGGTAGATGGTGCACGACAGGAGCAGTTGCCTTATATGACTAGCAGTCGCGATCACCACATCGCAGTTCGATCTACAGACATATACGATATCTTAAAGGGGAGAGCGCTAATCACACGAAACCTCACCGCGTCCTCGAGCAGAGTTGCGGGTCGTCCGTGACCACCCCTTTTGTGAGCTTAGTCCCACATTTTACGTATACTCCTTCTGTTTCCTCGGTATCCTCATCATAAGGCAACCGGGTATGGGAATATAGACTACATTTTATCGTAAATGGATAACGACAGATCACATCCCGAATAATAGCATCGCATACTTCGGCAACTGGAAATCAAAGTAAACCCGAAGACCATTAGCAACCGTGAAATCGTTCTTTTTTCAGCAGTGAGCATTGAATTGGGCAGTATGTATCTAGTTGATAACCAACACTACTTCGGTGAAGCATAATAACAACTAAGCATTCGTCCACCCAAATACAAACTTGCCGTTCGACGACCTAACCAGAGGCCACGAAGGTCAAATCACTGTGTGCATATAGGTTGCGAGATGGCGATAAACAATGCGAATTTGGCGGTGCGAGCCAAGAATAAGAAGAAGAAGAATAGGGAGTGACTGATACTCGAATTTTTCCATTTGATCACTTCTTTTCATCCCCTTGCCCACGCAATCGGTTATCCCGTTGAACTGAACAATCATGATGCCAGGTTCGCAAGACCCGTGGCGACTTGAGGATTCGCGAACACAAACAGCATACACGGGGTTCGGAATTTTGGCAATCCCATCCTATTCATTCATTTCATTTAATTCTGATAACGAGTTCCAGTTTGAATCGAAACGTTAAAACGTTATGCATTTTACAACTCAATAAACATATATGTATGTATATATCTGTTATGTATATCAGAATGCTCGTGAGTTTACTATGAACTTAAATTACAAGATTGCGTTCTACAATTGTTTCTCCGTTTCCTGTCAGGGTGATCGAAATCATGGTGATTTATGGCCACAAGATATGGACGGACATCAAACTGACTTGCATCGATCCAGTAGTGAGGAAAGTGTATCAACAAGGACCGGGGCATGTAGTTCAAATTCAGACAACCGTGAACTACCCAATTCATATTCGGATAAACCGGAGACTAGCGTGAGCAGACCGGAATGCGATTCTCTTATACCAGATGATTATTGGATCGAGTGTGAAAACGCACAACAAGTGATTGAAACACTGAAAACAGTCGATCCCATAGTTGGTGCACGCAAATTGGTAAGAATGGGTATTGGTCCGTCACTGTGATCGTGCGCATGCGGTCAATGTGAAGTATGCAACAATAAGACTTTATGAATCACACAATATTCGAGGGGGAGGGGGAGGGGGGGGGGCAAGGTGGGGATGGGCGGGGGG